CGACAGTACTCCTGTCATAGGAACTATCCCACCACATCTCCATTATCTCAATTACATGATAATTCCATGATCACACTAAGATTTACAATTCATCCTTCTTGTTCCTCATTTTTCTTAAATTAATATTTAAACATTTCAGGTAACTAAATGACTCTCTTAATTTCTCTCTGAAAGCACTGTTAAGAGTTTAGCTATTGCTTCCTCACACTAGGTTTTTCTTCAAGTCCCCCTGGCTCTTTACTTACTTCTTGGCTCTTATCTTAATCTCCTGGTGAACCTGACTTAAAGCCTTCCTCACTAGGTTAAAAGAAGACATTCTTCACTCTTTTCATCAGGTGGACCACTTATCTTCCCACTACTCCTTCATCTTGGAACACCACCCCATGTTCAATGAAGTCAAAGCCCTGCTGGTAACACCATCTATGTAGCCATGTGTTGAACTCTAGGATGCACCTGCTCATTCCCGGTCCTTTACCCTTGACTGAAAGGGTAGAAGAAAACACTATTTGGGCCCCTGTCCCATTCACTTCTGCTTTCAGAGCCATGGGGCGCATCCTCAGGAGCTCGCATGTGCAGGGGTCTGCATTTAGCAGAAGCATATATTTGTACCATGTGTTTTGGGGTGTCACAAACCTCACGTGCACGCTCATATAGCCACTTGATTTCCTCAGGTTCTCCCCTGGTGATGTATTCCAGTTATCTCATTGATTCTCCGGCTTCCTCCTTCTTGTTTTTCTTTTCCTGCTTCCTAGAGCAAGGCTGTCCAACTAGCAGCCCACAGGCTTCATGTGACCCACAGTGGGTTAGTTTGCAGCCCCAGGGCTCCCACTCAGCCCCCACACCCCACCACCCATCACTTTGACTGCAGCAGAAGCAGCCAGAGGCTTCAGGCTCCCTCTCCCTCTGGCTTCTGCTTTCCACTCTGCCCCAGGGGATGGGATGGAGCAGCATGGCACATCCACAATGTCAGAGAAGCCCATACTGTTGGGCACTGGTGCCATGCCATGCAGTATAGTGCAGTGACGTGCAATGTAGTGCAGGGGAGGAACCCAGGAATAGGGAGCTGAAGGTGGAGCAGAGGCATCTGCACAGTGCGGTGGGGACTAGGGAGTGCATCCATGGCCAATGCAGTGTAGGAGAAACACCCACTTGCCACATGCCTGGTGCTGCAGGGGTGGGGAGTCTCCATGTGCTCAGTGTAACTGGACAGCACCCAGGGAGCCCATGGCTCATGTTAGTGTGGCCTCCATGTCATGTGACCCTTGCTGGTATGGCCCATGGCATGTGTGGCCCCTGGCAACTAAGAAGTTGGGCAGCCCTTTCTTCTTTGCCTGCTTCTATTCTTATTGGTTTTAAGATAATAAACCTTTTCTCTTTAAAAAAAATATCACAGAATGGGTAATTAGGGAATGTTCAAAATGAGATCATCATCCTTGGACTTAGTGCTTTTCCTAAATTATGATCTTATGTTCTGCTGCAGAGATGCACTGTGACTTTATTAGTGGTCACTAAGAACACTGACAATGTCAATACTAAGGATGCTGTGAGCAGGTATTTCATGTCCTGCTCTGGATAAATACTTCATATGCTGAATATCCTTAGTGGGTGCAGCAGGATTATTTCCCTTTATATGACAGGTCAACAAAGAAGCCTTGCAAGGCAAGAGATCTGCCAGCCCACAGAGCTCAGCCCGGCGGTGGGAGAGCCAGTGGTGGAGCCACTTCCAGCGCAGCCCTGGTGAGCACAGCCTGGTGGCAGGAGGCTCCACAGCCTCACAGAGCTGAGCCTGGCAGCAGGGGACAGCAGAGAGCCAGTAGCAGAGCCGCTCCAAGCACAGCCCTGGCTCCGAGTGCAACCTTGGCCACTGGTTGTCTGCCGCCTCCCACCACCAAGCTCAGCTCTGCGGCACTGTGGAGCCTCTCACCTCCAAGCTGTGCTTGCCAGGGCTGTGGTCTGAGCAGCTCCACCACTGACTCTTCTGCCATCTCCCATCACCAGGCTGAACTGCATGGGGCTGGTGGAGCCGCTTGGAGCACAGCCCTGGCAAGCACAGCCTGGTGGCTGGAAGATCTGCAGTCCCACAGAGCTGAGCCTGGTGGTGGGAGGCAGTGGAGAGCCAGTGGCAGAGCCACTTGGAGCACCACCCTGGTCAGTGGCTCTCCTCTGCTTCCTGCCACCAGGCTCAGCTCTGTGGGGCCGATGGAGCCGGTCAGAGTGCAACCCAGTGGCAGGAGGCAGGAGAGAGCCAGGGCTGTTCTCTGAGCGGCTCCACCAGACCCATGGAACTGATCCTGGCAGCGGGAGGTGGCAGAAGAGCCAGTGGCAGAGCAGCTCCGAGCACAGCCCTGGCGAGCACAGCCCAGCGGTGGGAGATTCCACAGCCCCATGGAGCTGAGCCTGGTGGTGGAAGGCAGCAGAAAGCCAGTGTCGGAGCCACTCCAAGCACAGCCTGGCTCTGAGCACAGCTCTGGCCAGTGGCTCTCTGCCGCCTCCTGCCACCACTCTGTGGGGCTGCTGAGCCTCTCGCCACCGGGCTGTGCTTGCCAGGCCTGCTCTCTGAGTGGCTCTGCCACTGGCCCTCCCGCCACTGGGCTGAGCTCCACAGGGCTGGTGGAACTGCTTGGAGCACAGCTCTGGCTCCGAGCATCCAAATGGTTCTTGAAAGTTTCCAGAGTAGGTGCTTGCACCACCTCTGGGGTGATTATGTTCCAGGCCTTGGGGGCTCGGACAGCAAAGAAGTTTTTCCTTATGTCCAGCCTGAAATGGTCTTGCAGGAGTTTGTGACCGTTGGACCTTGTCATCCCCTGGGGTGTTCTAGTGAAGAGGTGTTCCCCCAGATCCTGATGCACACCCCTTATGTACTTATAGGCTGCCACCAAGTTAACCCTGAGCCTGACCTTCTCCAGGCTGAAGCGTCCCCTAGCTCGCAGCCTCCCTTCATAAAGCCTGATCTCTTGCCCTCTGATCATGTGTGTGGCTCTCCTCTGATCTCTTTCAAGCTTCTACCCATCATTCCTGAATTGTGGAGCCCAGAATTGAATGCAGTACTCCAGCTGCAGCCTCATGAAGGCCAAGTACAGCAGGAAAATGACATCCTGGGTCTTGCTCGTGATGCATCAGTAGATGCAAACCAGAGTTTTGTTCACTTTGCCAGCTGCAGTATTGCATTGGTGGCTAATATTCATCTTGTGGTCAATCATGACCACCAAGTCTCCCTCAGCCATGGTGCTAGCAAGTGTAGCACTGCCAAGCCTATAAGCGTGATGCGGGTTTTTGTTCCCAAGGTGGAGCACGTTTCATTTTTCTGTATTGAATGCCATAAGGTTTTTATCTGCCCACCTTGCAAGCATATTGAGGACGGCCTGGATCACCAGCCTGTCCTCAAGTGTGGACACTCTTCCCCAAAGTTTGGTATCTGGTGGAGGAGGAGGAAGAGCCACTGGAGTCAGAGGGAACCAAGCAGTACTCAGGCAGGTGCAGCCACACCAGAATCAGTCCCACTGGAAAGCTATGAATGCTGGCCAGGGCTGGGGCAGGCAGGCACATAGTATGGGCTGCCCTGGGTGCAACGGGGTGGGGCTTGGCCCCCTGCAGAGCACTGTGGGTCAGATAGTCAATTGGTGGGTGGCCACCCTCAGGCCAGATCCAATTAGTTGGTGAGCTGGAATTGGCCTGTGAGACGTATTTTGTCCACCCCAATCAGTTTGAGGCCAGCTGCTGATTGAGATGCCCAGTTGATCACATTTCAATGGCATGCTGCCACATGTTTGGGGCATAAATGCTGTATGTGAGTTCACTTACTGATTGAACTAGCAGCAGAAGTTGTTGATACAGGGGAAAAGGAAAGGCTTTGGCATCCCCCAGGATCTCTGCTTCATTACTCCTAAGTTCCTCATCCTACTAGGCATGGAGGGCAGATTGACATAAACCTTCAAGAGTGATACAGTGGTTATCCAAGATGTAGTTGAAGTACATGGTTAATTTTTAGTGCATTTCAACACAAATAATAAAAGCACATGGTTACAACCTACATCCTAGTCTTGAACCCTACTCAGTTCTTTCTCAGTCAAACATGAATTAGGGGGTGTTCTTTTTGTGTAAAGATTGTATAAAAACTGAGTGGGAATTTCAGGATTAGCCATTAATCCTCAATTATTTTCCTGTGAAGTCTTGGGCAAGAGTAGGTTTGAAGACTGCAGCATAAATCAAAGACAATGTTAGTATATAACTGCACTCTTTCTCCATCAATAATTTACATAACAGCAAAGCTTCTGATATATTTGACACTGACTACTCTTATCTCAAAATACTCACCTCTACCACATGCATTTTAATACCTGAAGGAAGATAATTGCACCTATTCAAAATCATATGTACTTTTTTCCTCTGAAATGTACATGCCCAGCACCAGTAGGACTGTCCCTTCACATTATTACCAGAAGATTTTCTAGTCAAAGTACATCAGGAGTTTGATATACTCAGTGTACAGCAAGAAAAATGGGACAATTTCTTCTTTTCTCCGGGGGAGTGGGGGGCAATGGATGGTGTCTTCACTGCAGTATGTTACATGGATCCAGACTGAGAACCAAACAGGAGTCTCCAAAAGAAACAGGACATTTATTTATTCGTTCCTAGACAAATCTTGGGGGGGGGGGGGTTGTTTGTTTGTTTGTTTTGTTACTTAACCTAACAAAGCCAATTTTTATACATTTTATTCTGGGAAAAGTGACTTGTGTAGGAATGGGGGAAGGGGAGGTTACAGTTATCCACAGGAAGAAAAATTTTATATTTTCCTTTTATATAACACAATTTTATTCAGCCAGGGGCACAAGCAGTGGCAGTTGTTAAAGGACAGAGACAAGAAGAAACACATGGCAAGAAACAGGTTGTGGAAGTTGCTGGGGGCTATTGATGATAATGCATATTAGGGTCACAGTTGACAGCTGGTGTTGAAGAGCTTGGTTGGCAGCAACTAAAAAAAAATGTTCTTTCCTCTACAGACTGGGATAATCACAGATGCCAGGCTGAAAGAACTCACCCCAGCTGTGCCTGTTATTTTCATCAGAGCCATACCTGCTGATAAACAGGACACTCGCAGTGTGTATCCATGTCCTGTGTATAAAACCCGTCAAAGGGGGCCAACTTACGTGTGGACTTTTAACCTTAAAACTAAAGAAAACCCTTCCAAGTGGGTCCTTGCTGGTGTAGCATTGCTACTGCAAGTTTAGTTGCTTCAAGGCAGGATGCATTCATGGGAAACTGTTAACCATTTCTTATTTGAATTTTTAAAGGAATATATATGAAAGATGAAATAATTATGTTTAGACTAATAAGTACTGTAATTTCTCAAACTCATTCTTAAAAAGATGTCACGTATAGCAAGAAACACTAAAGTAATAGTGTAGGATGGATTCTCTGCTACTGTAAATTAGAGAATTGCTTTTTACTGTATTTACTTGAATAGAAGATGACTCTGATTATAAAATGACCTCCCACCCCATAATTAGTTTCTATATATGGGAAATGTATAATTTTGTTATAATTTTCTAGATATATAATCTTATTATTGGAGGTTTGCCTTGAATTTGTCCTCTTTCAACTATTACAGCAGGAAAAAATATATCTGGGGGATCAGACAGCTCCTTTGCTCTTTGCTTCTCCCCAGCTTTTCCCCCTGATAGCCCCTCCTTTTTCTTGTTACTGTCAGACTTTGCTCTCCCTGAACATATAAAAGCACAAAGCAAATTGGAAAACAATAACCTTGAAAACAAACATGGCTATAGTAACTTGCATATAATGCCTATATATTTAATTCATCCAGAATCGATGCATATTACTTTTTTTTTTTTAAACTGCTGTACATTTTAACACGAGCATGCCATAAACACATTTTGGAACAGCATTTTAGCACTTACTAGTATGGAGTGCAAACTATGCATGATATCTGCCCAGAGCCAAAGAGTCATAACTTATCATGTATTTCATTGGGCTGGGCTCCTCCAGATTTAATAGCATTACAAGCTACTGTGACCCCACAGCGCAGCACTGTTCAGCATGTTTCTGTACTACAGGATACACCCAACAAAGGATCCATGTGCTAATTAGCCCCCACTCGTGAACAGAACTGGATATCCTTGTCACAAGTCTTAGGATCCTCCAAAAATGTATATGCAAATAAGGCAAAGGGCAGCATGGTCTGGCTCCACCTCATGGAGAGTGGGGCACACTAATCATATGTTCCAGGTTGAGAGAGGGGTGACAGAGGGATTCTGGCTGAACTGTTTGGGGCCTGTTTCATCATGTTTGCCAGAGGACTATGTGTAATGGGTATAAGTCTTGTTCAGGTCAGCTGCCCTAACCTAGCCTTGTGGTAGGTTTAGCTTAGCCTTTTAGCACCAAGGGAAGGGTATCAGGGTTGGTTCTGACCCTTCCAATGTTATTTTGATATTGCAGGGATTCCAGGGGTTGTACTAGTTCCCTGTGGAGAGAGCACCCACAATTTTTTTTAGGAGGTCTCAGATGCACGCACATGGGGCCTGTCCAGAGGAGCATGGTCGTGCGGTATGTGGTGCCACAAACATGTTTGCAGTGCCACATACTGCACAGTCCAGCAATCTCCACACTGCAAGGGCACACTGCCCGAGTGGGTACTACTCTGTTGTTTTGTTTTCTGTGGTTTTCTTGACCCCTGGATTTAGGTATAAAAAAATGCGGGGGGTGGGAGGGAGGGGAAATGGAGCAGCACATGAGCACATTCTCGGGTAGCGTGCACTGCTGGAAAGTAGAGCCAGGCCACCTGGAGCCATGCTGCGGCTACTGGCCAGGCTCTGTCTGGCAGGATTGCTGCACCTGCAGCTCCATGAGGCCCTCAGGACCCTAGGTAAGGCTGCTGGGGCCAGCACGCTGCTGGGGCCAGCCTCCCCTACTGCCCCCTCCCCCCGGGGTAACTTGCCACGTACCAAAGCACACATGGCATGGGCTTTCCTCAGGGACAGGTAGCAGCGGTGCAAGGTGTACCGCCACTACTTGTCCCCAGGGAACCAAATGTCCACGCATGTCTGGACATGCCCGTGGTTGCCATCAGCCTGCTTATCCACTATAGCCTATGTATTTCATAGTCACGCTTAGTGTTGGCTGCATTTAGTCAATATCATAGTTGTTTTCCATTTCTGAGCACATACTGCTTTTGGCAGTAGTTTAACAATCCCCAATGTATTTAGTGTGACTTTCTTGTATATGATTGTAATACAACAGGCTTTCTTCTTGTGCCAATTATGGGGAAAAAACCTCTTCTTGTATTCAAGTAAATATGGTATTTCAATAGCCCTAAACTGATTTACTTTTCTTGAAGTTCTAGGTAGGTTTAAATTTGATGAAACCTACATTTTTCTTTGTTTATGTCCTTCTCCTAAGTCAGCTGAAGTCAGTGGGTCCCTCTCTATTGGCCTTAACAAGCCTTGAATTAAGCCTGTAGCTTGGAATAATCTGTGTGATTCTTTCCACATTGTTGTTTTCTTCAAATAAATGTTTCAGTGAGATATGAAGGAAAGTGCTAATGCTGAGGAACCTGACACTTATTGTGAAAATCAGTTGTTTTAATATACTGTAAAAGTCCTTACTGATACCCCATTAATCTTTAGAAATATTAAAAGAAGTGGTTATTCCCAAGGTTTTTAATATCATTGAAATTAAATATATGGTACAGAAATTATTTCAGTAAAGGAAAGCATTTCGTACTTGTGTAAATTTCCTAATAAAAATCTTATTTTTTGCACTTGCATCCAGAAGCAGCCTGTGTGGTTTTGTGTAAAACAGAGGTGCTCAACCTCCAGCCTGGGGCTATGGAGTCACATGATCTGGCCCACAGTACTCCCCAAGGGCCTGTACATTGGGAGATCAGTGGCAAATAATGGTTTCGCCATGCAGGATCTGGCCAGTGTGTTCAGGGTCAGTCCTGGGGCCTAGGGCATGGAAAACATGTGGCGGGGGATTGGGGCCAGGGTTGGGGTGTGTTGCAGAGCACTTAGGTGTCCTGCTCCTAAGAAGGGAAAACTGCTAGGGAAGGGACCCTAGCAGTGAGTGAATAAGGAGCCCAGCTGTTGGTTGCTTGGGCAACCAAGCTAACAAGCAATCACACCTGCCAGCGGTCAGCTGACTGTAAGGTGCAGGGCCTGGCCCTTATAAACGCTAGGGCCTGAGGCCAGAGAGAGTTCCCTGCCAGCAGCCAAGGAGGAAGGAGCTCTCTGCTATGTAAGAGAAGAGAAGCCTGAATGCAGGAGCAGCATCTGCCACTGCGGTGGGATGAAGAATCCCCAGTAGACTTGAGCGTGATTATAGCCGGGCGGCTTCTGTGTGTTTTATAGCCAAGGGGCTTGTGTTTGTGCTTGCTGTTTATTACCGGTGGTTTGGGTGAGGCTATCAGCGGATGGAGGAGGCCTCATAGGGGACCCACAGTAGAGTGGAGACCCCAGCACCAGTGAGGGCGCAGCATTGTGTGAAGGAGCCCCAGAGAAGGGGGCAGCATTGTGGAGAAACCCCAGAGAGGGGTCACTGCTGGCTGAGAAGCCCCAGTGCGGGCGCGGTGAGCCCCGGAGAGGGGCGGCATTACTGAGGAACCCCAGAGAGGGGACACTGCTGAGAAGCCCCAGTGCAGGCACGGTTAACCCCGGAGAGGGGCGGCATTACTGAGAAACCCTGGAGAGGGGGCACTGCTGAGATCCCCAGTGCATGCCTGGTGAACCCTGGAGAGGGGCAGCATTACTGAGGAACCCCGTAGAGGGGGCACTGCTGAGAAGCCCCAGTGTGGGTGCGGTGAGCCCCTGAGAGAGGGTGGCATTACGGAAAAGGACCCTGAGAGAGGGCGGCATTACGGAGGGGGCCCTGAGAGAGGGCACGGAGAGAGACAGGGCTGTGGAGAGCCCAAATGCCAGAGAGGGCGTGGAGACACAGAGAGAGACAGAAGAACATCTGTTAAACCTGCGAGGCTTGGGGCGTGGTACAGGGGTGGTAGGAGCCACGCATGGCCCATAAGGCTGGGGTGTACAGAACACCCGAGATAGGAGAACCGTGGATAGGAGAACCGTGGCCAAGAAGACAGAAGGCAGCCTCCCTATAACAATATATAAAATCAAAGTCGTGGCAGACGAGAATTGGAGGGTGCAATTGGGCAGCTTGGCACGGTAAAGGAGGCGGCAGGGGAGAGCATGGCGACCCAAGCTGCCCTCCTGTTACAGGGTGCCATATTGAATCTATGGCCTTTGCTCTGAAAACTGCCCTACAATACTCATCCATCCCATGGGCCCAAAAGTTTGGGTACCCCGATATAAAATATCCACTGTATTCCATTGCACAGTGGGTGCTCTACATGCATTACTGGTGCATTACTGTGTGTTTGCCTAATTTACTGCACAGTATAGTAAGCATTTACATGTACACACCCTTACTGCACAGTAAAAATGGTTAATCATAATTAAATATGATACCTGCAAATGCAGGTAGCAAATTTAAGCACAGTTAGTTACTGTACAGTAACACACATTTAAACAATACCCAGCAGCAAATTTGCTGCCAGATTGTGTCTACAGATAAGTTACTGCACAGCAACTAATTGCACTTAAATTTGCTACCTGAATTTGCTTTGATGTGTTTTAGTTAAAAAGCGTGCTGCCACCATTTTCTTAGTGCTGTCTTGCATTTCGCCGTTTATACAAATGCATGCACCGCAGCACCAGGTGCCTTTAAAAGCACCTAGTGCTGCAGCGCATGCATGTGTACAAATGCCCACAGTGTCTTAAAAAGGGAAAAGGCAATAATGTGTGTAAACACAAGATGGAAATAGGAACCTTCTGGCAAACTGAAAATCTACCAAAAATTAATTCAGATCTTCTTGAATGGATCCAGAGGCAAGCAAAATTAGTTAACACAATTGATCTTAACAGGGGTGGTTTGTTTTGGCTTTGAGGGATGGCTGGCTCAAACATCAATGACCTTAGAGTGAAGAAAAGCTACAAAAAGTAAGTCTGAAACAAAGATCCTGACAGGGTACAGATGCCTAGTTTTTTCTCCTGAAAAACCTTTTTTCTTCCCTGGGAGAAGAGATTGATGTCATATATCTTGACTTCAAAAAAGCCTTCGATCTGGTATCCCATGATCACCTCTTGGTGAAACTGGCCAATTGTCGCCTTGGGTCCTCCACGATCCACTGGCTGGAAAATTGGCTCCGTGGTCGGACCCAGAGGGTAGTAATTGATGGAAGTCACTCATCATGGTGTCCTGTGACCAGTGGGGTCCCCCAAGGCTCTGTCCTTGGACCCATACTGTTCAACATCTTCATTAATGATGTGGACACTGGAGTCAGAAGCGGACTGGCCAAGTTCGCCGATGACACCAAACTTTGGGGCAAAGCATCCACACCAGAAGACAGGCAGGTGATCCAGGCTGACCTGGACAGGCTCAGCAAGTGGGCGGACGAGAAGCTGATGATGTTCAACGCCGATAAATGCAAGGTTCTCCACCTTGGGAAAAAAAACCCGCAGCATCCTTATAGGCTCAGCAGTGCTATGTTGGCTAGCACTATGGAAGAAAGAGACTTGGGGGTCATCATTGACCACAAGATGAACATGAGCCTGCAATGCGATGCGGCAGCTAGTAAAGCGACCAAAACGCTGGCTTGCATCCATAGATGCTTCTCAAGCAAATCCCGGGACGTCATTCTCCCCCTGTACTCGGCCTTGGTGAGGCTGCAGCTGGAGTTCTGCGTCCAGTTTTGGGCTCCACATTTCAAAAAGGATGTGGAGAAGCTTGAGAGAGTCCAGAGAAGAGCCACGCGCATGATCAGAGGTCAGGGAAGCAGACCCTACGATGACAGGCTGAGAGCCCTGGGGCTCTTTAGCCTGGAAAAGCGCAGGCTCAGGGGTGATCTGATGGCCACCTATACGTTTATCAGCGGTGACCACCAGTATCTGGGGGAACGTTTGTTCACCAGAGCGCCCCAAGGGATAACGACTTGGTCGAACGGTCATAAACTACTACAAGACCGTTTCAGGCTGGACATAAGGAAGAATTTCTTTACTGTCCAAGCCCCCAAGGTCTGGAACAGCCTGCCACCAGAGGTGGCTCAAGCGCCTACTTTGAACACCTTCAAGAGCAAACTGGATGCTTATCTTGCTGGGATCCTATGACCCCAACTGACTTCCTGCCCTTTGGGCAAGGGGCTGGACTCGATGATCTTTCGAGGTCCCTTCCAGCCCTAATGTCTATGAAATCTATGATCTATGAAATCTAATTGAACTCTGGGGCCCAAAACTGGACTCTAGGTGTGGCCTCACCAGTACTGAATAGAGCTCTGATTTGCAAGTGACAATTCTGTTACTGCAATCCAGTACTCAGGGAAGGAGTGAGTGGGGCAGTGCATTTTAAACAAGACAGCTACAAGACTCCCATTCTGTCATCCACAGATACTACTGTGGCATCATTTTCCACAAACATGCTTATGATTTTGGGTAGCTGTCCCAAAACTAGATTCTCTTGATTGCTAACCTGATTACAAACACAAAACACTTTCATGCCCACTCAGTCTATGGGGTATTTAGCAGTGGTTATAAACAAAGTCTCTGTATAACCCAGGCAAATACCAGCACCAGGGGCTACCTGCACTTCCCAAAAAACAGGTCAGATATATCATATTTACTCAAATCCAAGATGATGTTTTTATTCTATTCAACATAGAGAAAAAACCCCTTTGTCTTAGATTTGAGTACAAGTGGTGTGTGTGTGTGGGAGCAGCGGGACAGATCAGCAGCTGCAGCCCAAGCCCAGGATTGGTCAGAGCTGCAGCTGCTGCCCCGCCCCCCCCGCCGCTTCCTGCCCCTACAGCCTCTGTTTCCTCCTGCCTCACTTGCCCTTCACCCCCACCACACTTCTCATTCTCCTGTTGCTGTCTGTGCCTTCCCAGCTGCAACCAGCACTTTCCTTCCTGTTACAGTTCTGGCTATAGTTGGAGCCTACTCCAGCCCAGAGCACACATTGCCCCTGGTGCCTGCTCGGCCACAAAGTGGCAGGGACAGCAGCAGCAGGTGTGGCTCAAGTTTCTGCCACTATAACAACTGCTGCATGGCTGGGCCAGGACAGGAGGCAGCATGTTCTCCATGTTTCAGGCCAGAGCAAGAGCTGACAGGAAGGAAGATGGTGGTGGTGGTTGGAGGAGGCACAGAAACAGGGGTAATCAGAGGTAGTGGGGAGATGGCACGGGGCTGAGGCAGAGCAGGGAAGCAGAATCGGGGGCCAGGCAGGAGGCAGAAGTTGGGGCAGGAACTGTTGGGCCCCAACCAAAACCAGAGCTGAGATGGGAAGAATAGCAGTGGTGGGGATGTCAGATAGTGGCTTGGGGGGCAGGAGGCAGGGGGACCCAAGTGCAGGGGCAGGTGCAAGGGGAAGGCACCAGGAGGGGTAGGCAGGCAGGGAGGGAAGCAGTTGGGAGGACAGGTGTCAGAAGGAGCAAGCACCAGGGGGAATGGCAGGCATCTGGGGCAGCAACCACAGAGGGCAAGTGAAAGGAGGAGAAAGGGAGACGGGTACCAGGGGATGCAGGTGGAATGAAGAGCTGGTGGGATGGGGCAACTGGTATATGAGGGCAGTTGGAATAGGGGCCAGGTGGGAGGGGGCAAGGTGCAGGGCCACACAGGCACCATCAGGGGGCAGATAGGGGGCAAGTGGCAGGGAG